GCGAGAAAGCGTGGGCGAGTGAAGGTATCGCACTGGGATCAACAAAGGTCACCGAGGGAATCCGATAATCCGCCGTGCGAAAATATTCCTCCTCGTCTCCATATTAATACGGGAAAGAATCCCCCAGGGTGTATCCAAATACACCCACATGTATATTTATTTTCCCTCCGTTTTCTCCTCTTCCTCCTTTTTCTTCCCTCCGAAAGGAAAACGGCTGGACGCGTGCGAGACGTCTGGTGAAGAGTTCTAACCGTTCGATCGTCATATTGACGGCCCAAACTCGACGTGAAATCCTATTTATCAAATTTTGAGGCCCACAATCCAATCGCTGTTCTTCTTCGAACTTCCCCACCGAAAAGAGAATTCCTCTCGGATCCTTCATGCGAAGTCGTAACAAATTTTTCACGTCGCACCCCTGTTTTTCAACCACCGAGATGGATGTCCCTCGGTCTGGGGCCACCAGTGGGTCACCAGTGGGCCGCCAGTGGGCCGCCAGTGGGTCACGTGACGCCGACTGGCGAATGGGTTTCCGGGATCAGGACGAGAACGGGAACGCGATCGCGGACGAAAGTGGGAGGGCTCGACGTCCATTCCCACGATTGCATTAGTGACGCAATCGATGACGTCATCCGGTTCCTGTCCTCCTTTCCGGCCTTCGCACGAGAGACCACTAACTCCTTTCCTCGAGCAAGAAAGTCCTCAAAACCAGGACATTTTTTTTTTACACGCTCGATTGGCTTTATGCGTCGACGGGATTTCCGAAGACGTTTTCTTCTCTTCCGAGCGACGAAGACAGAGGTTCTGAAACTTTTTATGTGCGGGCTTCCCCCCCCCCCCCCCCCCTCCCCCCCCTTGGCTTAGCTGGCTTAGCCAGCTGATCCAATTCCCTCCGCGGATGAGTACTCGGGCACGGGTCTGCAGCCAGCTCGGATCAGATTTTTGAATTCAAGGAGTACGAAATGGACATCTGCGGCTCGCGATCGATTTAACGAAAACGATGAGGTTGCTTCCGAGCGTAAAAAGGATAAAAATGGGATTTCGTGGAAGAAATAACGACGTGAAACTCATTTTGAACAGGCAGACGGTATCGGATTTCATCTGCGTTGCAGCTAGAAAGCTCGCGTGGGCAAGATGAGGGCAAATGGAGGGAAATTTCGGATGAAACTCATATTCGATGCAGGGAATTAAATCGAAAGAAGTGCCTGAGGGTGCCCTGGCATGAGGGTACCCTGACACGAGGGAAAAATCCTCATTAAGCGTCTTGGGACGTTTTCCTCCGGCTCGGTCGCCCTCTCGTCTCTTCGAGAAAGGGGAAAAGTTTGTCGGTCGGGTCGAGTCGAATTCCCGCCCGGACCGACGAAATGCGATTTGTCGAAAATCAGAGACGAATCGAGCGCGTTCGCGACGTCGCGTCGTGGGAGAGGGCCGATGGAAACGAGCACTCGTCGAAAAACCGGATTTCTAAGCATGCTGCTAGGGGATTTCCATTATTTATTCCTACACTCCCGGAAAAGGAGTCGGAAAGACCTCGGCGAAAGGAAAAAAAGTGGCGGAAGAGTTGCCTCTTTTACTTCGCAAACTCCAGTTTGCCACTCTCCTAAAATTTGCTTTCGTCGAGCGTTCTTAACTCATCTACTCCGTATATCTCAAAACCAACTAGAGACGAAGATGAGGTTCGGTACGCCTTGCAATCTATTTTGTAAGTTTTATCCGGAAGGCGGAAAGTCGCTTGTCTCGACTCTCCGCCCTGCTCAGAGTCCCCACCTCACCCTCTCCCCTCAGTCAGATACATATGAGAAACGACGAACGTTCAGACCGAGGATTCCGCGCGAGGACACCCGGCAAAACCCGCACCGACATCCCCCCACGCGTTCCCGGGGAAACCCATGCCCCCAGATGGAGGCCCAACGTGCACATGCCCCCAGTCGGTCGGTCGCAAGTGGTCGCGGCCGACTCACCCGCATCCTCGCTCGCCCAAACAGCTGCGCCATTCCGAAAGTTTTCCGGCCCGTGATGTTGCGCTCGTTCGATTCGGGCGAGAAACTCGGCCGGAAAGGCAACGAAAGCAATATCATATCTTCCATATCCGACCCCCCTGCCCCCCCCGCCCCCCCCCCCCCATTTCAAGAGGGAAAGGTGAGAGTAAATAAGCTCTTCTCTCTTCTCGCCTTACGGCAGATCGGCGATGCATTCTTGATGAGAGCGTCGAGTGTTGGGAGACGATCTCACACCCCCGCGCGAGAAAGCGTGGGCGAGTGAAGGTATCGCACTGGGATCAACAAAGGTCACCGAGGGAATCCGATAATCCGCCGTGCGAAAATATTCCTCCTCGTCTCCATATTAATACGGGAAAGAATCCCCCAGAGTGTATCCAAATACACCCACATATATATTTATTTTCCCTCCGTTTTCTCCTCTTCTTTTCCTTCCCTCCGAAAGGACCTCATCGTGCCGTTGGAACAAGGAATTCCGCCGTTTAATTGCACCGAGATCGACAAAGGTGGATCTAAAAGTAACGGCCGATTATTTTTTTCTCGCGTGTTTTTCTATCCGCGATAAAATGCTCTCGAAGGTAGGTGCGACAACGAAGGGAGAATTGAACTACATTCAGAAATGAACGCGTGACTGTGACACTACGTGAATACATGTCACGAATGCGAATATTTACAAATATATCATCGACCGTTACTTTTTGATCCACCCTCGTGTCGAGAAAATGTTGAAAGTAACACCTCGCCCTTTCGATTCGGGAGAGGAATCCCTCTCGACAGAAGCACGGGGTGTTCATTTCGTCTCTCTCTTCCGCACGTGCAGGGGACCTGTTCCTGTTGGTGTACAGTGTGGATAGCAAGGAGAGTTGGGAAGAAGTGGTGAGGCTGAGGGAACAGATTCTGGACACGAAAATGAGCGCCTCGGTCACGTCCGTTCCGGCGGCGAAGAAAAGGGGAATCCCCGCCCCCAAGGTTCCCATGATGATCGCCGGCAACAAGTCCGATCTCAACCCCTCGTGAGTAGTCGCACTGTCATCTATGGGCGCCGTCGCATTTTTTTTTGCGCCGTCGCACTTCTTTCGTCGTTTATCTTTCCTAAACTTTCTTCACCCCAGAGATCTCGATGGGCTCTCACCGTTGTGACTTCGCATCGTCCGGTCGGACGTGATCTGCAAATCCATGAGAGCAGTCGCATCGCGAAAACCTGAAAGTATCCCATCCATACGATTCTTGCCCTTCCAGTCTTCTCTCTAAGCTCTTCCGGTCGCGCATTAGCACATAATCCCACCCCTCGCGAACGAAAAGCATGTTGCGAAACGTGTAATATTTTTTAATTTAGGTATCGTATATCTTCACGAATAAATTTCCCACGAGCATGAGTCATGAGGAATCGTCTCCAACCAGGAATTATGGGAAACCTTCCTCGACCCATTTTTCCAAATTCTTGCCCACCGTGACGGCCGTGAATCGCGACGCCATCCTGCGCCATAATGGAGGGGAACGAGCGGAGCCCGTGGCTAACTGGTGAGGCCGAGTAAATGGCAGTCTTAGAATTCCGTCCATTTTTCGTCGCTTCGACGATAAATATTTTCTAAAGATTCTCTATTCGATTCTTTACAAACCACGTGCTTTTGATCGCGCAAACGATCACCACCATTTTTTGACACACGGTTTAAGCGATCAGCCACTAAATAACAACTTAAAGAGGACTTCCGGCCGAATCCGCTTCGCAACCCGATTCGGTCCGTCCATCAGAGTCCCTTTCGACGTCACGTGATCCCACTCGATGATATGGACCAGTTCGTTCCAGATCGAGTAGTTCAAAGGGTTCAAATCAGCTGTTCGGTGGCCGATGGTCCTCGTCGAAATCGTCCATCGTTTGGACAGTCGATGAGTGCGTTGCCTCGCATCATCTTGTTGGAAGTCGTCGCCGAAGGCCTCCTTGCCCTATTTTGCGGGCAACCGGTAGCACTTCACGCATGTATCGATCGCGATCGACCGACTCCTTCTCGAAGACGACCGGCGGTGTCACTCGGCTGGCAAAACTTCTTCCTTTTGGCCTTGGGGTCGTCGGTGAGGAGGGGTTCGATGATCTACTCGTAGGACCGAAGCAGGAGATCATTCGAACGCTCCGCTCCGAAATGTCGAGTTCGCCGACCGACTTTCGAGCCGACACGCGATTCTTCCGTTACGACCGCCTCTTCACCTTCCGAATGGCCGTCTTCGAGGAAGACTCGACAGTTCGATAGAGCCAGGTTTCGAGGTCATCAAGCACCATCGTTCGATCGCGGGAAGACCCAGGGCACCGTTCGAATCCCGGAATATTTTCGCTGGATTTTCGCGTTTAGAGATAACAAGGTTTTGGAGGTCTTTACTTTTCACGATCCGAAGAAGAAACGCTGCAAGCATGTGCAAAACCAAATACACTGCTTTGTAGAGAACTAAATGGAGAATCTTCGGGGGGAATGTTCGTTTCTTTGCGACGAAAAATGGACGATATATCGACGGAATACTGAACCCGCCGTTTATTCTGCGTTACAACTACTGGCGGCAGTCTTCCACAGGTCTTCCACAGGTCTTCCACAGGTCTTCCATACCGAAGCTTGAATAATATATACCATGAGTAGATTCGACGGCATGTTCTCGGTGCGGCTGATCATATCACGTCACCATGAAATATTAATCGAATCGCTCGAAAATTGAGGGGTGTGGCGAGGGAACGCGATGACTTGCCGGTCTCGAGGCAAGCGATGTATTCATTCGGTGGACTCTCAGGAACGAGATTGGCTCGGAAATCCGATATCGAGAAGTGTGACTGATTGGGGGTCCACCAAACTTTTTCACTCGAGGGTCGCATTAAGAATTTGCTCGCCTTGGTGGAACGGACGCACGGAGCGTTAGTGAGACTTGCGGGGTTGCTTTTGTATCAGCTGGCCGGGTTATGTTGGGGTGAAATAGAAAAAATAGTGGATATTGTCGATTGGCGACACTGTGCAGGGAAGGGTCCGCATGGACTGAAGAGCTTGGAATCGGATTTCCGCGGCCCGTGTGTTCGGGATCCCTGTTATAGATAATCTTGGAGAAATAAGTTATCTCGATTTTCCTAAAGTAATGAAATATCTTACTCCGATCCATCCGCGAGATTGTTATTGGAAGATCTCGATATCGCGAGATCTTTCGCTACCGTTATCGCGACACACAACTTTCTGGTGATAGATTCGGGTAGATCGAGGCTACGAGAGAATCCCCATTCAAAATTGAACTATATGGATACTTGGCAGAGAGCCCTTTTCTCAGTAGTCCTCTGTGGACTGTTAAATCGACATAAGTCAGAATACCCCACCAGTGGCGCACGCAGACTTTCGAAAGGGAGGTTCAATATTATAGCAGTTGGTTATCGAGGGAGAGGGGGGGGGGGGCGCATGGCTGGCGCTAGCTTCATGTGCGCCGTAGGCTGCGACTGAGATTAGAAAGGGCCGAGCGAGGAGAAGGCCAAGGAGAGGGGAAGGGAGGCTGAACGAGAATTTGAGTGCCACAGCGCAATGACGGTCGCCTGTTCGCAGGGCCCTAGCCGTTTCGGCGCCATGTGCAAAGAGACTCCCAACGCATCCCCCCATCAGAATAAAGAAGAGTCTGCACCTAACGTTAAAAAAGACGTCAAAACGGAAAGCATTTACTCTTTCATAAGTAAAACTGAAGGTAGCATCCATTCTTGCTTCATCCATTCTGGCACGTTTTAGCGTCACAACCCTCTGACGCTAGTCAAGTCATGCAGGAGGTTCCCTGGAGGTTTCCCCCACCTCCCCCTTCCCTTCCCTTCCCTTCCCTTCCCTGTATGAGCGCCACAAAGCAGTCGATTTCGAGGGGCATTGCTTCCTCTCACACTTTTGAGGACGGAAAAGCCATAGCGGCAACATCCTTGGGGATCCAATTTTCTTGCCAATATGGGAAAACAGCCTTTACCACTCGGGCACTAAGTGCCTAACTATTTATAGCCTTCCGATCGTAATTAATTTTTTTTTTTGCAGGGTGTTGGGTGCACACCCAAGAGGAGTTCAACTCGATGAGATGTGCCCATTAACTTAAACATAAGTTTACATCTCGTACATCCATTATAATATTGACCCTTTAAAAATGGCGTCATTCGATCAATTTTGCGTGGAAAAAACGCAGGACTGCAATCTTGCAACCGGATAATTCCTCTCTTGTGCGCAACTTTGTTGAAGCGTAATTATCCATCCTTTTAGGTTCCTTCGCCTGCCGGAATTTTTCCGAGTGCTCTACTGGCCTCAGCCATTTCGAATCGATGCAAAAGGTGCATCGCGCATCAAAACGTCGCAGCGTCCGAGAAGCCTCGATGTTCTCCTGGACGCGACGAGTCCCACACGAGCAGACGAGGCGGAAGTAATCAATCGAGGCTAATGCAAGCCTATCTATGATCAGGAGGGGCAGGGAATGAGAAGTGGATCGCGAGCCGGTTCATCCGGTTCATCCGGCTTTGATTCATGCGTCAACGGGATCGTTCATCGAATCGTGTCGTGACGCACGTCCGACCGAGCTCCCAAGGCAATCTTATGTCACAAAGGAAGACGGCTTTGTGCGACTCGTTTTCGGTTTTACGGCCCCTCGCCCCGACGATACGAGATCTCCTGCGAACGAAAAGGAAACCCTCGTAAACATATTGGGAGACGATCGCAAGGCGTCGTGCACGAAAGGGAGCGACCCGGACCCCGACGTCGATCGGCGGGGATTTCTTCCATCGATTTCCGTTCCCACGACACCTGGGACGGGAACATTCGGAACCGAGGCGAAATAACGAAGGAACTTATTAGGGAGGAAGAGGTGCCTTCCTCGAGATGGGAACGCCTGTCGGCGGAGATTATTTGCATAGACGTGCTTCCCATAAATGATCGTTCCGATTCCTCGCGCCGTCGTGGAATCGAATTGGATCCACTCGTCGTTGCCTCCTCTCGCCTCCACTCGCCGCATGTCGGTGTCGACTCGACGGTCGGGAGAGGTGGTGGGCGTGGAAGCAATTACGGGCTTCCGGGCCGCGTACGATGATTGGCCGCCTGCGGAGATCGTCCCGCGGAGGAGGATGTCAAGGGGAGGCTGCGAGGGCTTCCAAGGCTGCTGGGATTCCCTTGCGTCTTAATGAGTCCTTTGAGAGATCCGAACTCGATGAAGGCATTGCTTGCGAACGGGAGTTGTTCCGTCTTTTTTTTTTTTTGGCAGGTCCGTTTCCGTATTAAAAAGGTGGAGCGGGATCGACCGACTGACGGCAACGTCTTCTCGACTGGCTTTTATTCTCGGTTTTTTTTTTTCAAAGTGCTCGAAATCTCTGGTAATTACCTACTTAACATTTCTCGCAACAAGTAGTTCGTGAGTAATGATGAGGTATTTAAATACATTAGGGTGACAAGTGATTCGGGAAGTATTCGGCTCTCTAGAGCCGAAGCGTGACACAAATCTACTCTAAAATTGATATTTTCCTCGTAATAACCGCACTTTTCTTCCTCTTCCCATAAGCTGTTGTTGTGCCTCTCGCACAGTAACGGGCGTTCGTGAATTATTCAAAGGGTTTTAAAAATGTATATCTCGGAAACCATTGAGAGCAAATCGATCGGGTTCGCAGCAGACGGTAGCCAAACACTACGTTTTTTTAACCGTTGAAACTTACTTTTTGTCAACTTTTTTTTGTGCGGGTACCGTTTGTAGCTCTTGGATATTTTATCGCTGCCTGTGTTTTCTCAAGCCTTTCTGGCCGATCGTTGAAACTCCATCTCTTATCCTCTTCTGTAAAACGTCCAAACTGATTCCTTTCGTCTCGTCTGCGATGTCTTTCAGGGCGAAAAAAAAAAACTTCTGTCAGACGACTCGTCTCTTTCTCTGCAGCACAAAGGCAAATCCCATGGCCCTTGTTCGGCACGGGTTTCTCGGGACTGCTCATTCGAATCGAATCGAACCTGGAGATTCTGATTGAAAAGTTAGTCTAAATTTGTAATGTAGAGAACCACCGATATGAAATCCGCAAATCGCTAAACATTTTTTTTCCCGCACGGAAGCCACGACTCGATCGGCCGATCCAAGAAATTGTCATTCTCTTGAGTTACCTCAATCATCTCTATCTTCCTAGCTCCGTCGCGCATGTGCCAGTCGCACGTATAAAAAATTAATTGTGTTTACTTACTCTCTGCTGCAAGCCAGATCAATTTATTCCATGTGATTTTCTAGCTATAAATGTTTAAAATCCCTTCAATAATTAATGAATACCTTGTGTTTGATCCCCTAAGGTGGATGTCATGTTGAAAAGTGATCATAGTAAATAATGATCTCTCTCACGTACGTATCGACTAGGGTACAGTTCAACCACAATTAGGGAAAGTTTAGAGCTAGTATAATTAAAAACGTCGATTAAATTTAATCAGACGACACCCTCCGACTTTATGTTTACGTTTAGCCGATGAGTCGACTGTTTCGTAACGACTGAGGTCGTTCTGGGTGACACCAGACACCCCAATCACCCCTCTAGAAACCCTAATTAGTGATCATGGTCAGGTTTCTGACGCCGTGCAGGTGGAGAGTGGTGCGGACGGAGGAGTGTGCAGCGTGGATCGGAGGTCTTCCGGACTGCGCCTTCTTGGAGGTCTCGGCCAAAAAGGCGTGGAGGATCGACGACCTCTTCTCTCGTCTCTTCGAAATGGGAGGCCTCCCCGCCGAGATGGCTCCCTCCCTCCATCGTCCCGTTCCTCCCAACTATCAAGGCCTCGCACCCAACTCTTCCGTGAGCGACCTTGGATCACGCGTGAAGCGAGATCGATTCCGACCTGATATTTTAAAGATCTGGTATCGAAAGATGCGAACCCTAAAAGGAAGTTTCGGGGATTCGGATTTAAATTCAGATTTCCCGTCGAGAGTTTCAAAAGATTCGAACCAGGTTTGGCATCGTTAAAAAATATTTCCTCGCTTAATCGCGGAGTATGAACAGAATCGTTTGATGTACGAGGATTATCATTTAAGTATTATGACCGAATTTCTTGCAGCCTCGTCTTATTGCGTGTCCGGATCATATCTAATCTGCACATTTTCAACGTAATCTCCTTAGGACGCAATGCGTTTTCCCAAGCGACATGCCCATGCATCATAATTTATGCGTGTTCTACGTGCCATTTTCTGACGCGCTTCGAAGCTCCTCCGTCACGGCTGCTACGAGTTCCGCATCGGGGCCGAATCTTTCGGCTCGCTCTTTGGCTTGGGGAAGATCCAAAGTCGTGTCGGGGGAATGAGCAAGATGTTGAAGGATTTCGCAAGTGCAGCTATTGCGTCCTGCACCGCGATGTCTCGGCGAGTATCGTATTACGGGATTTTTATCTCACGGTTTTTGCGAATTCTGCATACACTGCAATTGTAATTCTGGTTTCCGGTTCCGCGTGACGTGCCAGCGAAACGCCCCGAAAGTCGAATGCAACAGACCCGTCTCCTCGCTAAAAGATTCCGCCCGACACGAAGCTTCTTCGAGGGCGATGAAGGAAGTTTCCACGCGGAATTCCGCTGTTTGGATTCGCGATCGCGACAGACGATCCCGAATGTATACAGTGCGACGTTCCTTTCGGAAAACGCGTCTGTTACAGAACGCCTTGCACGGGAACCCCGGGAACTCCGTTGCTCTCTTTCCAACTAAGCTTTCGTCACAACGGGTCGCTTGCAAGCGTCGAAATAAATGTGGTCAAATGGTTTCAGCGTCCTATTCCCTCGCGTTTGTTTTTTCCTCGTTTCTTTCCTCTCTTTTGATCCATGCGAAAGTGGGAAGGGTGGTTTCCCGCTTTTGAATCGGCTTTTCGGATTCTCGAAAATTATAGTTTAATTATGAACTTTGGCGGAGTGGTAGGGTTCGTATCGCAATCGGGCAAATAAGAGTTTCGATTCGAGTGTCCGTCGGTCGCCAAAATAACGGGCGAAGTTGGTTCTTTCCCAGGGATTTGCTCCTTTGCCGGTGTTTTCAAGGCAAACGTTCCGTCCCGTCTCGTGAATACGTGCAGCCTGCAAACGAGATGGATTCCGGTCGCACTTGGACCGGGCGGGAGAGACTCGACAGGGGCTGCTGTGAAATCTTGCAGTAATGGAAATAAAGGATAGGCTCGGATTTACGAGAAGGATTAGATGTGTTTTAAAAATCGAGTCGATGGTAATTGCTAAATGAAGGCCACAAGCGCCTATTTTCAGGTAAAACACGTACGAATGACGTACCGAACGTCGTGACCAAGGGGCGAAGCAGAAAGGTTAGATAATTGGATCCATTGCAACGTCAGCGCCGCAAGTGCATGGTGCACTTCGACTGGTTCTCTGTCCTCTTTGTCACACGAACTGTCATCGATGAACGCATTCCCATCTGCGAAGTGTTTCATCCGTCTCCTTACGCCTCTGGCATTCGCGAAATCACAGCCGTGAATGCCTCGCAACCGGGTGTGAAAGACAGTGACGCTTTCACCCTGAACGAATGACGAATTTCACCCTCTTTCTCGATCCCCCGTCTCGGCTCGAACCGAACCTGCTTGGCACGAGTAGCTTCTACAGAGCCATCGACATGCAAGTTCGTGAGAGAAAAAATTGCGCAGCACAGCCTGCAATGAGCCTACTTACTGTTAGAGCTATGCTCATAAACGTTGCGGGAATGGGGGGGGGAGGGGGGGGGGAACCCTCTGGGACACTGTTCTCATGCATTTCATGCATCTTTTCCTTCTTAATTTTGCTTCCTCCTTTTTTTTTTTTTATAAGTGGGGGAGGGTCTACCCTCTATGAAGTCAACCGACAACCAGGAGCTATATCGAAGGCCTTCCTATTTTTAACTTCGTTCCTTCGGTGATATTGCTCTTCGTGAGCCGTTCGTCGGATGACGTCGAGGGAGCGATGAAATCATTAATTTTCCCTCATCGAGTATGCGTAATTAAAAGATGGGAGCCGGGGCCGAAGGAAATGATGAGGGCTTTTACGAAAGAACGATGAATTCCGAGAAATAGTTCTTTAACTTCCATTACCCGTCTCGTTTCTCGGATGATTGAGAGATACACTGAAATTCCGAGGAGAAAGACGCAAGGTAAAGCGGCTGGGCCTGGAGAGAGAGAGAAAGGAAGGAGAGGAGAGAGAGGAGGAGAGAGAGAGGAGGGGAGAGAGAGAGAAGAGGCACCCTAGATTATATAAACGAGATTGCAATGCAGATCATTAAAACTTGGATGCTGGGGGAGAGCAGAGAGTACAGGTACGAGATAAAATCGTTATCGGTACATCTGACGTGGTTAGATTCCCCCTCCCGATGGGATCCAGAATACTTCACGCACAGTTAACGAGGATGAGGTCCTTTGCTTGGGATATGTGATAAAAATCAATGGTGACAAAAAAAGGCGTTTTCATGCATAAAATAGAGGATATTCTCGCGTGCGATACCTTGTCATTCGCCTCGCATCGTGCCGCCTTCGGGACGGTTTTTAGCTCGATGAAAGATGGAATATCTTCGTGTCGTCTGAGGTGTTTGCCGATCGCATGGATGGTCCCGGCCCATTTACGGATGCGAGGGCAAATGGGCGGGTAAATCCGGATCCGGATCTATTAAGACTCCTCTCTTTCTCTTTTTTCCTCGCTCCTTTTCCTTCTCTTTGCAAATCTCTCTCCACTCGAGTTCGATCCGGCGGGGGTTTAATATGGCTTCCGGGAATTGGATCAACTTGTTTGCGACACATTTGCGATGCCATTACGACTCCGGCTCCAGTCGTGAATCATCTTTTATACGGTTTCCGCATGTTTCACTTCCATTTTCCTTCTGTCACCTCGATGCATCACCTCGAGATGAAAACATGCAAGGGAAATCGGGGAATCGTCGTCGATCGCACGGAATTTCACTCCGAACCCGTTTTATTGTTCTGGCACGAGTTTGCCAAAAGGATGGAATATCGGGCGATCGATGTTCTCTCTTCCTCGAATGGAAAGAAAACTTAATTAGAACAAGAGCATTAACCTCATTAAAAAGTTAAAAAACAAGTATTCTTTCCTCGGTAATTTTTTGCATATTTTTGTTAGTGATTCCATGCACAAAACGAGTTGTGCCTTGACATACTTTTCAACGGGAAAGGAGGAAATGCGCGTTTTCTCGAAAGTTCATGCTTTGACTCTTGAGTCGGGAAAGGAGATGGCGAACAGGAACCAAGAGAGTTTTTTTGTCCGTTCCGTTATGAAATCAGTGGAAATGGCATCGAAAGAGAAAAAAAAAGAAAACACTTTACCTTCCTCTTTCGGGGCCTCACAAGAGATGAAAAGAAAGTAAATAAGGAGAAAGTCAGTCTGTAGCGACGTGAATCCATACACGAGGACGTGAGATGTCATGACAACACCGTCATCGATGAAAAGAGATTTTTTTTTCTTTCTTTTATGACATCTCGGGGTGGAGATGGCATTTTTTCTTCCCGGAAGATTGAGTCTTTTTCCATCATCGAATCTCCTATTAGATCCTCCATTCCTTGGTCACGATCTTTCCGGGGTGAATCTCCTATCTGGTATCTCCATATGAATCACGTGATGGGAAAAAAAAGCCTCTTAGAGTGGGAAGAGGACGGCTGAGAAGTCTCTCGACGTCGAAGTTCTCATCAACTTTTTCTTGCAGGGAAACCTATCAAAACACTTTTTTTTCGATTTCTCTACTGCAGGATGCATGAAGATAAAATTATCTGGGGTCGATGACGTCCAATAGTTTTTTTTTTACCAAATTCATAAATGGAAACTCGAACTCCAACATTTTCAGGAAAATAAAGAGGAGCTGCATGCTATCATGACCTGTGTAGGAAAGCTGCTTCGCAAATATTTAAACCTTTCTGATAGTTGCATCACGTCTGAAATTAGAGTAAGGATACAGCTCGAACAAGAAAACAAGTCGCAAAAGACACTGAGGTCTTCCTGGAAAAGGGCGGAATTCGTGTAACTCATTAGAGGAGACGGAGAGGCTTTTCGAAGAAAAAGACGACTGCTTACCAGTCAGTTACCCATGTTGAGTCACAGCCTCCCATTTTCACTTTGACAATGACTGCGGCTTCAGTATCATTTTCAATGTAAGCTCTTATTTCTTCGTATTCATTCCTAGACCCAAGGAGCACATCAGCTCTGAATGCATCACCCCTGAATACATCGGGGGATGTCCTTGGGATGCATCATCATCGTTTTATTTTCCTTGAAGGAACTGCGTAGCACAGTTTCCTCCCGTCAAACATAATGAAAACGAGAATTTTGTAAGAAAGTGTCAATAATGAAAAGGAAGAAATCCATACTAGCCAAAGCTCGGTCACGATTGGCGAACAGGTAACCCAAGGACGCCCCATAGACCTTTCTTGCAGGACCTTCGCCGCATTTGAACTTCCCATCGATGCATTCAACATCATCTCGAGGACATCCCAAATGCTCCATTCTTCACATGTCCCTAATGACATCCCCTGCGAGGCCTTTGTATGTCCTGTGGATTCCATTCGGTGTCGATCCTGAAGGAGCCCTCCAGCGAATAGTACCTTTCATCTATTGTTTCCCTACGAGACTTGATTATCTCTCGTAGGGGTAGAATCCTTTTGTGATATCTTCCATCGTGCATTAGGTTCCATTCTCGCGCTGAAATTGCATGTCGGATTAGATTCTTGGGATAATTTCTTCTTTCACTCCATAAAACTTTCCTGATACACCCTCCTCTGTCATCATGCTCGTCGCTGATTAGCGACGGCCGAGCCTACCCTTGTCCTAATCTCATGGAGTGGAATCCATAGTTGATCCTTTCTTCTCTCAGCCTCTGGGCCGGACTCGTCTGGAGTCTCCCTGGATTGAAATATCGATTCGGACAAGTTTTTGGAGGGATTATAATGTCTTCCCCCCGAGTTGCCTGCGGGAAAATATTGGATATTGTTAAGAAAAAAAAAAGTGCAGAGAATCGCTTCCTGTATCATCAGGGAGAGACAAAAGAGCATCTAGCGTTAATGTCTTACGGTGGATTCTCTTTGGAAATCTTCAGAATGTTTCAAATGGCGGTCCTCCTGAAGAAGGCCCATAAAAGTGATTCCTTGCATGCCAAAATACGATTTGCAATGGGACGCGGGACGTCCACGGCATCATCTCATGTTAGCGGAGGAACTAAGACTATGCCTAACGAAATCGCACAGCATCCCGTGGTTTCGAATAAATATTGGACCCGCAACTCAACAATTCCCATTCCTATATTCAATAATTTTTTTTTGCCAATGAAAACGATTAGACAAATGGTATATTTTCCAGGTTCCTGTGCCGAACCAAACAACAATAAATTGTGTGATACGGCCTCTCGTGGTTCCTGAGATTTTTACAATACGAAAAAGGGCTACCAATTGATTTGTAAAATGACAGATTTCCCGAAATCGATTAGTTATCCAGTTCAGGCTTTAGTCTGACCGAAGTTCCATGTTGCTCATACGAATATCGACTACTCTCACAACGAAATCCTAACTGTAACTGGAACTAAAATAGAACCAGAACTGAATTGTAGCTAAACCACAGCTTTGAAATCATTCCATATATATTTAAGTTTACCGTACCGTACCGTATTGTGCCTGTGCAGGACAGCAGTAACGACTAAGAATCAAATGGAAATGGTATAAAAGTTTTTTGCGTTTCCTCACAAGAATCTCGCTTCCTTCTGCAATATTCGGAAGGGACTGCCTTTGTTCTTGTGCTTCCTTTTTTATTAGATGAAAAGTGAGTTACGCAAGAGTGACTCCCTTTAACACGCCTTTATTTCGTCGGATTCCAGTCGCGAAAAATTCTTTTTGCCTCTTCTGCTTCTTCTATCGCGCAGCGAAACGAGGAAAAGAAAGACATGCTATTCTTAAATCGCGAATAAAAACTCTCACCAAAGTCGGCAGCCATTACACGCAAACTCGATCTAAAAAAAATTTGAAACCCATATTTCTCGCTTAGAAGAAACGCGGGAAGGAAAACTACATTTTGAAAACTTGTATTTTAAGCACCCTAAATGCAATTCAAGCGAACTCCTTGAGTCGAGAATGAGACTGAGATTTATATGTAAATGATTCCACGGGGAAGTTCAAATCACCCCTGGATGCGTCCATATGATATTCATAATTTAGTATATTCGGGGGAAAAATAATTATAAAACAAAATTTTTTATACTTATTACCTCTTTTCCAGCAACCGACGATCCAACTCGTCACGAAAAAGAAGTCAATGTCCTTGTGCCATTGTGCAAAATTCAGCTCCTAACACACTTTGTTTTTAGTGTGGACGTTGTTCCCCAAATTGGGATCGGAACCTGCCCTTTGAACCAGATCTGACGTCATCTCGAGATGATTCACGTCATGTAAGAGAAGGGAACCCATCTGGAAGAAAAGACTAGTGCAGTGGTTCTCGACCGGTGGGTCGCCGCCCAAAAGTGGGTCGCGATGGTCTTTCAGGTGGGTCGCGAAAGAACGAAATCGATTAAAAGTAGAAGATAGGGAGATATAAGAGAAGACAGATCAAACACGAGCACAAAACCAAACTAAATGCAATATTACGAGTTTGACCTTCTAGGCACGACCTAATCTATTAACAGTTAATTGGAGTGCTCTTAACCTTCATCTCCAGGGAACTCCTAGCCAGTTCCAGGAATCCCTCTGCTTTCTCAGAGCTGTTGTCAGTGGTGACTGTTTTTTTTTTCTTGGGGGGGGGGGGGGGGGGGGAAGTCCATTTTTTT